GCTGTTAAGATGCTCTTAAATCTTAAGACTATAAATGGATGGAGGTTGTATATTAAGAAATACATTTTGATCATTCTTTAATGATGCTAGTTCTTGTCATTATGTACTCTAGCTTACAACTAGGGATATGGGGGATGGTTGGGATCCTTCATCCTTTATTAGAGGTTTCGGGTTTGAGCTTTTTGAATGGAGAACTTCTTGGTAGGGAGCGCTTTACCTCCTTAGTGGTCCTACCCACCGTGAATTAGGTTTAGTTGGCTAGTACGCTTCAGATGCTAGATGGTTAAGCCAAAAAAGAATGTACTCTAGCTTGGAGCCTTCTCTCTCTCTCAGTTGAAAGAGGGTATTATATTATTGATTATAGCACCAAGTTAGTGTATCTATGCCAATATTTATCCGTTGTTAGAAATTGAAGTGTTGAAGTGTGTGACCATCTCATTTAAAAGCTTAAGTTGATAGAGTTATGTTTTCAACACGCCCCCTCGGGTTCTAGCCTTATTTTTTTTCATGGGTCAAGCATGTGAAAATTCTTTTTGATAATGGGAGGCGGTGAGACTCAAATCAAGACCTATGTCTGCTCTGATACCATGTTGAAGTGTGTGACCATCTCATCGAAAAGCTTAAGCTGTTAGATAGACCACACTTTTATTTACTTAGTTATGTCTTCAGCATGAAGGCATGAGGGAGCTGATAAAATCTAACATTTATCTAATTGTTCACATTTTGAAGATTACACACAAAAAAAAAAAAAAATACAAAAAGGAGAGGAGTATTTCAGTAGTGCACACAAAAAAATACAAAAAGGAGAGAGGAGTATTTCAGTAGTGCACTGAGGAGCTTCTTCCTCCAAAGAGATCTTATGTTTCTTGCTGTACTTAACACCTACAGAACTCACAAATTTATTGATTACCATAAGATACTCTTGTTCTTCTGGACCTTTGCTCTCCCTTCCAGCACCGTAGAACATGTTTTAACTCCTTTGGTCCTCTTTTTTTTTTTTTTTTTTTTTTTGAGATGACTTAGGTGTCCGGGTCAACTTTCCTTCACCTCAACTATTCCACCGGATACTTGCTACCTCGCACCACCACAGGTACTGGGTACCATTGCCCACCAAGGCTTGGGCATATGGGAGAGAAATCACCTAGTGTTTTTGCCTCAGTTGGGATCTGGTACATCTTAAGATGAACAGAGAATAGGTTCCACAGTTCTTTGGCGACCGAGCAATGAATAAAAAAGATGGCTTACTGAATCTTTCTCCTTTTCGCGCAATAGCTCCTGTTGCCCAGAGAGATAACCCTTTTCATTATATTATCCTGCCCAAGGCAAGCCTCACTAGTCACTAGTAAGAATCACCCAAATCAAGCCACCTTCTGGGGAACTTTAGTTTTCTGGATAGCCTTCCATGGCCAGGATACTGTTGGTGTAGCGTTAAGTGCCTTGTAGCCTGACTTGATAGGATATGCTCCTTTGTCTTCCGTCCACCACTGAGTCTTTTCTTCAGCCACCCACTTTTACTACTCCAATTTTGGATTCCGTCCTATCCAAATACTATAATTACTATCAGCTCTACATTCTACCACTGTTGCATCCTTGGAGCTCTTCTTCGCTTATTATTCTTCATCCAGAGTTTTTACTCACTTGTGTTTTAAATTAAAGGGCTTCAGTCAAGTGTCATTACTTTTCTAAGTGTGTAGTTATATGCAGGTGGCAGAACTGATAGAAAAGGATCTTGTCTTGATTGGATGCACTGCTATAGAAGACAAGCTTCAAGAAGGTGTACCTGCCTGCATAGAGACTCTTTCAAGGGCTGGAATTAAGATTTGGGTGCTTACTGGGGATAAACTGGAAACAGCAATAAACATTGCTTATGGTTGGTATAAGAAATAGGCAGTCTGTTTTTGATACTTGATATTTGCTTTCGATGTACTATCTTATCCTGATTCACTTGTGTATTGCAGCATGCAATTTGATCAATAACAGCATGAAACAATTTGTTATTAGCTCAGAAACTGATGAAATCAGAGAAGTGGAAGATAGAGTGAGCAGCATTTCTTGATTATCTTGTTTGTCAGTTTGAAAATCCACAACTATTTAACAATTACTGTTTTTTCCCCACAAGGGTGACCAAGTGGAGCTTGCTCGTTTTATGAAAGACACAGTCAAGAATGAGCTCCGGAAATGTAATGACGAAGCGCAAGAGTTTCTCCATTCGGCATCTGGACCAAAGTTAGCGCTAGTAATTGATGGGAAGTGCTTAATGTATGCCTTAGACCCCAGTCTTCGTGTAATGTTGTTGAATTTGAGCTTGAATTGCAGTGCAGTGGTTTGCTGCCGTGTTTCTCCTTTACAGAAAGCTCAGGTGAGGTCCTTAAGCCACCTTGGAAACTGTCAAGCTGACTTTTGGTTTCTTCACGCTGAAACGTGCTTTTTTAACTAAAAGCATGGATGAAGTCACCAATTTTCATCCATCCCTTAGTTTCTGTCAGTCACATCTGCCTGGCAGCTTAAATTCCATGAATTTATACGCATATGATAGGTTTCATTAAATCTTTTCCCTATCTCTCTTTATAACTTTGTAATAAACTCGGCATATTTGTATGCCTGGGAATGCTCTTTTGGGGTTCACATTTCATTATCAACCGGTTTAGTTTCTTCTGGAGTCACCGTTACAGTTTAGAGTTTTGGTGATATTCTTGAAGTTACAAATAAAAAATGCTGTAATGTTAGGATGAGCTTTTTGATTGTCAAACTTGTAGGCTAGAGATATTTAGCGACTTTCCCATTGCTTTCAGGTAACCAGCTTGGTTAGGAAGGGGGCACAGAGAATTACTCTTAGTATTGGTGATGGTGCTAATGATGTGAGTATGATTCAAGCTGCTCATGTTGGTGTTGGAATAAGCGGACAGGAGGGAATGCAGGCAGTCATGTCTAGTGATTTTGCAATAGCTCAGTTCCGCTTTCTCACTGATTTATTGCTTGTCCATGGGCGCTGGTCATATCTTAGAATATGCAAGGTTTACCTTCATCTGGTCTTCTTTGTGCAAACTTGTATGGTCTGTTCGGGAAGTTATGTGATCTGGAATTTTTCTATGCAGGTGGTGACATATTTCTTTTACAAGAATCTGATGTTTACACTGACTCAGTTTTGGTTTACCTTCCGCACTGGATTCTCTGGTCAGAGGTTCTATGATGATTGGTTTCAGTCTCTCTACAATGTGATCTTTACAGCGCTTCCTGTTATTATTCTTGGGCTTTTTGAGAAGGTATATTATATTTTTAATATAGTTTTTTCGCAGCTTTTACAATGTATGACAGTGATGATTATTCTAACTACTGTTGTTTCTTGTTGTTTATACACTTATTGTGCATTTAGGATGTCAGTGCATCTCTCTCCAAGAAATATCCCGAGTTATACAGGGAAGGAATTAGGAATACATTCTTCAAGTGGAGAGTTGTGGCTACCTGGGCTTTTTTTGCAGTATATCAATCGTTAGTCCTGTATAATTTCGTAATTTCTTCGAGTACAAAGGGCATGAATTCATCTGGCAGGATGTTTGGTCTATGGGATGTCAGTACAATGGCCTACACTTGTGTTGTTGTAACTGTCAATTTGCGTCTCCTTATGATGTGCAACACAATTACAAGATGGCATCACATTAGTGTTGGAGGGAGCATATTATTATGGTTCATTTTCGTCTTTATCTACTCGGGTATCCACTTGCATAAAGAACAGGTGAGTTTCCGTACATGTTTATTGTGTTCCTAATGTCATTTCACTTTCTAACGTTGTTTGTTCTTGTTCACCACAGGAGGGTATCCATTTAGTCATCTTTGTCCTGATGGGCACATTTTATTTCTACCTCACACTGCTGCTTGTACCAGTTGCTGCACTTTTTGTCGACTTCCTATATCAGGGGTAAGTTTCTGCAGTAAATTTTCTTAAACTACTTGAATTAATATTATGTATTACATTTCAGTATACATTATTCTAGGATCTTTTATTTAAACATTCTTTCCAATTCTACCTCTCAAGGACATATCATTGTGTCCTTGAGATTTTCTCTCAAGCTAAACAAAATTGTGTGAATGAAAATGTAAATTTACAAAGTAATTTCACATCTTTGCTGAGATTTTCTCTCTAGTAATTTCACATCTCTAATTTCTTGTATGACTACTGGAAGTAGTTCACTTTTAACACTACTAGTTGCTTCCTTTCAGGGCTCAAAGATGGTTTTTCCCATATGATTATCAGATTGTTCAGGAAATTCACAAGCACGAGATTGACAATAGCAGGGTTGGGTTATTGGAGATTCGTAATGAACTTTCTCCAGATGAAGCAAGGGGATATGCCCTAATGCAACTGCCTGGACAGAAATCAAAGCATACTGGTTTCGCCTTTGATTCACCCGGTTATGAGTCATTTTTTGCATCTCAGGCTGGCGTCTTGGCACCTCAGAAGGCGTGGGATGTGGCTCGGAGAGCAAGCATGAAAACACGGCCAAAGGCACCTAGAAAGAGCTGAGTTCCAGAATTTTTGTACAAAATTTTCTTCTTTGACTCGGCGCTTCACTTTTCACCTAGACAACATTAGCAGATACGTAGAATTAGCTGTGTATTTATTCTTTCACACACATTCTTCGTATCTCTCATTGTTAGTTCTAAAGTTGTAGTCGCTAGTCGGGTAGGTAAGATTGTAGCAAAATCAGCTGAGAAGAAAATGATAGAGAATGTACATTATTTGAAGTAACCATCCTGAACACACTTGGCAAGTCCAGCTTGTATCTATGTATCGATAGTTGTGATATATTTTATTTTCTTTTGCAATATTATCATATATTATTTATGAATGTGATAGAGGGGAATGGGTGCCGATTATATAGATGGCCGATTTTGACCAATCTGGAATTAATGTATAGTTGATTGATTGATAATTATAATAGATTAATTGTCGGAGTAATACAACTTAGTCATATTAGATTACTAGAACAACCATGGTGATATGTTTTTAACATAAACTTGCAGCACCAAATATGGCTGTTAAATATTCAGTTGTTTCAAACATTGGAAAACTGGAAAACAATTTCCAGAAAATATGTTCCTACATACCAAACACACCCTACATTCCTAAAACACAGGTAAGAGAGCTCCTCCCTAACATGTAGTTGTGCACGTTTGTCAAAAGAACATCGCAAGTAGCTTATTTGAAATAAGCATCACCTTCTAAAACAGGAAACTTGGTTCCCGTATGACCCGAGAATGTGAAATGTTGCTGTTTCTTATTCCAATATGACTCGAGATCTGTCTGTTAATACAATCTGTGCTTTCCCGGTTTAAAAAGAAATTTGGACCAGTATGTTGATTTTACAGTATCCCACCATAGCTTATAATGTAAACACCCAAATAAAGCAACAGGAACACCAGAAATAGCAGCAATGAGCTTTGGCTGCCAAGCCATATGATTATTATAGACCAAGAAGAAAGTTGCTGCAAAAGCCACGAGCATGCCAACTATCGAGGCAAAGAGTGTAGTGAGTCCAAGGAGTAATTTCTTCGGCAATGACACAAGAAAGTCGTCTTCATTGTAGCGAGAAGTAAGAATGGACAAGAACATAATTATGGAAACAATTGAGCAGAACATTGCCACTGCATCTGATATGACAAAAACCGTAAATCCTTTCAGTTTTAGCATTATGGGGGTACCTTCATTGTCATTATTACCGCCTGGCACAGTGAAGGCTGCAGCAAACATCACTGTGGCAATCAAAGTTGCAACAATCATACAATAATTTGCAGTGTCTCTCATCCACCTTTCACCTTCTTTCAACAACAGCTTGTGTTCTTCTGAGAATAATTGCCTTGGGGTTTTTTCATCATTGTTTTTCATCCTGAGAAATGAAGGTGGTACAATTTTCTCCACCTCCTACCAAATAATTACTGCATGAGATGATAACTAGCAATAGAAAAGGTTACAGACTCTTCTTTAAAATAAAAATTTAACAACAAAAGCTGTAAACATACGTGTTTACAACGAAAAATAAAATGGCTGAGATAGAAATGCATAAGAGAAGTAGTTTCTGACTGCCAATTTTGCTCCTAGTCATCTCTTACCTTAAACCACAATATCTCTCTTTGCAGTCGAAGAGCTGCTCCAGATACCCGGAGAAATGACGGTGGCATAATCTTCTCTTCCTCCTGTACAAATCAGTCATAATTTAAAGGAAGATGACCAAATTATGGCACTCTTACATTAAGACATAGTTCATGTATCATCGTAAATTGGATTGATAGGATAGGAAATATAATATGCATACAAGAGAGAAAGAAAAATGACGAAAGTTATGACAAGTGTGTATGGTCTTCAAAAACTATTTTCTGGTATTTGTTGGGGAGCACAAAATATTTTTACTGAAAAGCATTTACTAGAGTGGATAAGAGTGTCAACAAATTGGATAGTATTTTGCATTGAAAATTACTGATGAAACTTTTGAGTGTTAAAGAAGGATAACAATATCTATGTGTTGGTTGAAGCAAGCTAGTATTATCTGGAGTAGGAGATGGGATAGTCATAAATGAAAAAGGCTTCCGTTCACAAGTGAGAGAAGTCATTTCCCCCTTTTTGATGGAAAATATATATACTACTTTCGAACTCCAGAAAATGACTCTAAAAGAAAATCCAGAACAAATGACTTCTGTAAATCAGAACACTGAAAATAAAAGGGCAGCCCGGAGCACTAAGCTCTCGCTATGCGCGGGGGCCGGGAAAGGGCGTGACCACAAGGGTCTATTATGCGCAACCTTACCCTGCATTTCTGCAAGAGGCTGTTTCCACGGCTTGAATCCATGACCTCCTGGTCACGTGACAACAATTTTAGCAAGCTACACCAATAGGACAGAGTTTATCACCTTAAAGCACACTGTCTCTGCTAACTTTTTAATGGCTTCGATCTCTCTAATCAGTTTTTGTAGTGCTTTCCTCATTATAATATTGCAAGGGCTTGGCTGTCCAATTTTTTGATCAATCTCAGTAATTAATTGTTGAAGAGCTTCTTCATATTCAATATTGGCAGGTGTTTGCTCAGCCAGTCTCTGTTGAAGGATCTCTTCCAAAAGCTGCTTAATAGATTCCAAGATTATATCATTACAAGGCATTGGCTGCCCAAGTTTCTGTTTGAGCTCTTCTATCTCTCCAAATTGTTGCCTGATTTTCTGTTTGAGAGGGATAGGCTGCCCTAACTTACCAGCCAAATGGAGAATGTTATTGCCATCAACATCAACACCAAGAGTTATCAAGTCTTTAACTGCTCCTATTTGGTGTATAAGACTATAGACTTTTTCTTGTCGATGTAAAGCAGCAACATGAAAAATGGTGTGCTTTCTTCTGTCGACTTTCCATATCAGATCAGGATGATCACGAATTAGCACAGCTAAAAACTCTACATTTCCTGCTTTTGCAGCAGAATTCAATATTTGGGTCTTTGAGATTAACCGCGCGAGCTCAGCCTCTGGCAATTGTAGACACTCTGCCCAGAGCTCCTCAAGTAGCACACCAGCTTGCTTCTTCAGCAATGATTTACCCCGAATAACCCAAACCCTTTCGAACCCTAAAATTCCAGCAATGTATATTACAAACTACTACTAATAAAGAGCTCCATCTTGAAACAAAAGTCAAAACAAAGCAAGAAGAAATAAGCAATACTTCTAGCAAAAAATGCAGAATTTGAATTTGTGATACAATGTTTGTACACACCTATGTTGCGCGGACTCTCTAAAATAATGCCGCACCCGTGTCGGATCCTCCAAAAATACAAAGGATCCGACACGCACCCGGCAACATTTCTGGAGAGTCCGAGCAACATAGGTACAAACAAGACTGCAAATTGAAACAAAAAAGGTCTTAGTAGATCTTACGTGTAATAAATGGCATCCTGGAAATCATACTAATAAATATTCGCCGCACTGGAGAACAAACTCGCATACTTCCGGCATTTAGCATATGAACGAACCTTTTCCACTTCCCATCCGGATCTCGCCAACTGATTGTTAAAGCCTTCTTACTTAACGCATGTAAGAGTGATCGGTTTCCTTCTACTATAGTAGTGGCCAAAGCTGTGTCTTTCTTGAAAATATCTAACGCCACATCTGCATGTAAAAACCAACATCATACCCAGTATAATCCCACATAGTGGGATCTGCATGTAAAAACCAAGATAATAAATTAATTCTACAGTAGATATACACCTCAAAAGCACTCAAAGCTTGTTAAAAGTTTAGCCCCCTAACTGATTAATAACTAAATATAATGGTCCTATTTTTCGGGCAAGCTGATACAGTGACAGTAGAAGCTGGAAAGCTGCAACATTTTAGAAGTTCTCCCTAAAACTTGAGTTTAAGAATCATGCAAAAAAGAAAAAAAATTCACATTAACACAAAATAGCACTTGATTGTTTCATTGTGAAAATATTTATAAATATATATGTCGTATCACATAAAAAGAATGTAAATACCACAAAAGCCATAATCAAAGAAAATCAAGAATGCATAGTGAATTCCTTATTTTAGGGTGGAGGGTTTTGAGGCGGTAAAGGAGGGAGAGAGCATGCTTTCTGTGTGCATATGTATGTATCTGTCATTGGAAGAGATCTCTCATATTCATACCATACAACTCATGCTGGATCGTGGCTTCGAGAAGTTCAAAGCGTTCTAAGTTGTCTAGTGCGGCAAGATCTGTGACCTTGTAAAGATATACTACCATATCTTTGTGTCCAAGCAAAGCAGCCATTGTGATTGCACTTCCATGTTTACTGATGATGTTGGGTAGCTTCTTATTCTTATCCCGCATTATACTAGCAATTTTAACAACCCCTGACGCAGCTGCAAAACAAAACGCATTAGTTCCCCCGTTATTTGGCAGTTCCAAGTCACTTTCCTCCATTTTATTCACTAGCTCCAGTATAAATCGTGTGCTTCTTGCCACAGCTGCAATGTGAAGAACTCTTTCACCACGTTCCGTCATCTTAGCTCTAGCTAAACTCAAATCCTTTTCCAGAATAGGTTCAGCAGCTCCCCAATCATCTCGCAAAGCAGCTTGATAAAGAATTTGTTGCGGTGTCCGACACTTTGTTTTCCTGCCACCTGCAAAATTAAAAGCGCGCAGTGAGTAATGCTTGGCTGCTTGAACCGAGAGTCTATCGGAAACAATCTCTCTACCCCATCTGGGTAGGGGTAAGGTCTGCTACACACTACCCTCCCAGACCCTACTTGTGAGATGTTACTGGGTCGTGTTGTTATTGTTGCTGCAATGAGTAATGCTTGAACAACGCTTATTTGTAGATGGATATCCTGACGTACGTGTTAGCTTGTTTGTCTTTATTTTTGATTTAAGTGAATACAAAAATTCAATGAGTATCTGGATTGCTGGACTGGTACTATAACTAGTAGTATTACATTTACAATCTATTTTGGATGGTTAACTGAATAGCAACTAAAATCACTCTCTTTACGGACAGCTCCCCCTTTAATTTCTATTCAACTTTATTGTGCTCCCTCTGTACCATTTTATATGGTAACATTTCCTTTTTAATTCGTTTCAAAAAGAATGACAACTTTCTAATTTTGAAAATAATTTAACTTAAAACTTCCTACTTTACCCTTAATGAGATGATTTGTGGCTACATAAATCCTATGACTTGTTTTAGACCACAAGTTTTAAAAATCTTACTTTCTTTCTTAAACTCTATGAATATTCAAGCACTGCCACATAAAGTGGACCAAAGAGATTAGTAGTTATTTCAAGAATGATCTATACAAGAAAGTTCTGTATAGTTAAACACTAAGTAGCTCCGACATGGCAATTTAGGTGTCGCACCCGTGTCGACACAACACTAATATGGGTGTGGGTATGGGATCCGTACCGGATTTGGTCAAACAATTTTGGTACTTTGACCACGACAGACGGAAAAATTCGAGACGAGATACAATTTGATTCCCGAAATCAGAATCAAAACTAGGGTAAATTTGAAGAAAATAGCATACCTTATCTAAGAGATCAATCCTTTACTTATCTACAACTTGATACTTAAAAAGAAATCTACACTTGACAAGCTATACGTAAGTATTCCACAAAATTTCTCATAGGTTAAACATTCTCCCAATCCTTGTTCATCTCAGCATTAATTGGTTTCGAACAGGGGTAGGTGGTTCGTAATTTTTTTTTTGTCTAGCATTTTAAAGCAATGAGAAGCTTTGGGGTGCCTTTTTTTTTTTGGTTTTTTTATTGGTTGTTGTTGTTGTTTGTTTTGGGGTGTTCATTCAATACTAAGTGCAGGCAATGGATATCTAGTAAAGCTATACAGGAGAGATCCCAAAATGTTAAATTCCCGCATTCTTCAAAGCTTTTAGTCAGCAAAGAAATCTTAAAAACACCTTCCAAAATTCTAATCAATGGAAATATCTGATGGTTAATTCCATTAGCCCGAATCTTGGACTCCTAAATATATGGTAATGATTCATCAAGCTAAGTATCCTCTAATTACCTATATATGTTGATTTGGTAAAACCCAACGCCCTTATCTGTAAGCAAGAAAATAATACTACTGTAACTGTGAACTTACTATTAGAAAGTAGTGCATCCTGCAGACGGGCAGGAGATTGATTTTCGATATCAGATCGTGACCCTCCTTCATCTTGTTCTTCAATTTCATCAAAGTATGATTTAGCTGAGCAATAACGGCTGACTGCGGATGATCTCCGCGTTATAGATATATCAGGACTGTAATCTACAAAACTTACAAAATAATTAATTATAGAGGAATATAATTTATGACCAGCCAGATGTCACAATCAATCCTCCTTCTAAGAAATCAGATGGTGACAACTGATATAAATTTATTTGCTTGAGAACTTGTTTGGATGGTCCAAACAGAAATTGTATTGTAGTGTTTTTGAATGGATCGTATCGTTTTCCATTTGTTTCATAATGTAACGGATCAACAATAAGAAAAAATAAGCTTGTAACATTGCTAAAAAAAAGAATACAGAGTAAAATTATTATACAAAATACAAGGTAAATGACAAAATATAGTTATGTAATACATGAGGAAGGAAAAAATAAAAGAAAAAAAGCAAGGTAGATAGACATTTTTCGTCGTAACGATGAATTTAACAATACGATATAATAAAATTTAAGTAAAAAACTAGTTGGATGGTTATTACCTATTATACTGTATCGTACTGTTACTTTAAATACAATATTTGTTTTGATTGTTACTCAAAAATAATATCAAAAGTCATTTTCCAAAAAACTCTAAGAAAGGAAATCAAGTATCTAATAGGACCTCTATATCCGTGTCCAGGTGCTCACTTGAACATGCCTTAGTTCGAGTGTACAAATGAAATATGCTGGCAAATTTACGCGGCTGTCGATGTATTCTCAGAGGCGAAAGTTATGTTGGTCCAAGGATGATCAACTGATTATTCTTCGTCAAAAAATTATATTATGTATAAGGTAAAATATTATTTGTTATTGATTAAAACTAGATTTTGAATATCTTTGCATAGCCCACTGACAAAGAGTGTTCAAAATTTGAACACCCTTATTGAATTTTTTAGTTTCGCCACAGTGTATTCCATCATTAATTGTGTATGAAGTTTTGTTACATAAAGCGGAATGACAAAATCAAGTCAATACATATTGAAAAAGATCATCGTTCCTTCTGTTTTTTTTTTTGGTTTGGTTTTAGATTATAGATGTGTTTGGCACGGAGAAAAATATTTTAGAAAATAAGCGATTTTCTTATTTATGTTCTGGTGGTGGTAAATGAATTGAAAAAAATATCTTAAAATATTTTTTATATGATATAATTTATGCAAATTAAATACTATGGAGCGGGGGGATTAGTGGTTTGCAGGGGAGAGGGCGAGGGGGANGGCGGCGCGGAATAAACAATTCGCGTGGAATGCCACTTATGAAGCTTGTTTTCCCAGCGTCTCATAGGAAAGTTATTTTTCTTATTTTTAAGGGACTTGCTTTTTTAGAAGAAATATTTGTTAAAATATTTGACCAATCAAACGTATAATTGTAGAATAAAAACTGGATACCGAGCAACTTTAGAAGAAATGTAATGAATTATTTCAAGACCGTTTTGAATTGCTTTTTTTCTTTTATTGAATTGATATAATCTGAACAACATTCACTAGATTGATATAGTCTAAACTACGAATGTGTCATTTATTCAATCAAATCTTTTATGCCTATGCCAACCCAAACTAATTGACCATTTTTTTGGGAAGGAAGCAATCAGAAAATAAGTAAAAATTGAAAAATATTTTTTTTGGATATACTTTACTCCACACCAACCACACCTATAATTAAGAATGTTTGGTAATTTTTGAATTTTGATTTACAAAGAGATCACATGTCATAGTTCAAGACCAACTCATAGCTCATTTTAATTTTTTTTAAGCATTTGATTTAAAATTGATCTTTTAGCGATTATAATATTCTTCGTTTTTAGATATTAAAAAGTATAGCGTTTAGGCCAAAAACTAATAAGTGGGGTTGCTTAGCTTATTACTTTTGGCTTGTTTTATACGATTTTTACTTTTTAATTTTGTCAAGCTAAAAAGAACTTAAAAACTGATTTGACCACCTTAAAGCCAATCCAAACACCCTCTAAAAGTGTATAGATGAAATAAAAATATATAGATGAAGTTTCGATGGGAAGAATAGGATACCCAGAGTGTGAAACTTGTAATGATAAACATATATATATATATATATGTGTTTTTCTAAATGATAAATTTTCAACTTCATGTTACTATTTTATTTTATGGTTGTTGTTCTTAGTCTAGTCTTTCCTATGCTGTTCCCTAATAAAATAAAATAATGAATAAAACATGAGAAGATAGAAGAAGGAGAAGAGAAGAAAGACGTACTCATGATGAACTGGAGAGAGTGAACTATCTTAGTATATGAAGCTTTATAAGCTCCTAATCTTCAACATCGGCACAGAGAGACAGATTAAAGAGCACAAACTTTTGGCTTTCTTTGTTATTTGGCGCAGGTGCTCACAGGGCAAGATGGAACTTATACAATTGTGATTAAAGGTACAACCCCACCACTTTTTTTGGTCTTTTTTTAATCTAAGAGGTCGTTGGGTTTTATTTTATATTAAATGCATGACCTGAGAATAGATATTGATATTCTGCACGGGACAAAAATAAGTGAAACAAGAAGATGTCTAGCAATTAATAAAAGATAAAACAGCTTGACTTAGGAATCTTTGATATAACAATCTCTGCCTAATAATTCTCAATTAATTATTTGATGGGTGCATCCCATGCCCATGTGAAGATAATTTTCTTTAGCTTTGAATTGTCAAGCCAACCAAATCAACCATGAAAAAGATTGGCAGGCAATCATTTCTCCGAATTTACAATTTGTCATTTGATTGCTTACATTGTGATGTTATCGATGACATCAAGAGGAGCTTTTCTAACACTATAAATAGGGAGCTCCATGCTTATTTTTAATATACATCAAACAGAGATAGTAAGAAGAACAATACTCTGTCAGAAAAAAGAAAGTTCAAACGATATTGTAGTGAATTAAAAAAATCATAAGAGGATTATGTAGTGATTTTGGAGTATTTTACTTTGTATCACAAATTGCAAAATCTTTGCTATAGTGAATTAGTTTCTCCTTTCGGGCCGTAATTTTTTCCTTATTCAGAAGGGTTATCCATGTAAAAATATCGGTGCCCTTGTTTCTATTATTATTGTCGTTGGTTACTGTTAAGAGTGGCAAACGGGCGGGTCAGGTTGGATATGGTTCAGATCGAAAACGGGTAATGAAAAAATAGATAAATTATCGGACCTGACTCATATTTAATACGGATAAAAAACGTGTTAACCGGTGGATAATATGGGTAACCATATTATCCATGACTTTTTGCATATGATCACTTTTGGGAGAATTCTTAGTCTCACTAACTTGAGGAGCCCCCAATTTGAGGCTTTACAAATGTAAAAGTTAGACTCATTAGTTATCCATGGGATAATATGGTCTTATCCATATTTGACCCATTTTTAAAAAGTTCAATATCCAACCCATTTTTAGTAGATAATATGAGTAGTTAACTATTTTCTTTTAACCATTTTGCCATCCCTAATTACTGTATTTTAGTAATCTATATTTATTATAGTCATATACCATGGATATTATTTATGTGGGAAATATTTTCCTAACAATTAGTATCAGAGTACATGTTCTGGTCATTCACAAAAATATATGGTCGGTTATGCTTTGTGATAAAAAATATCAGGAGTAAAATACGAAGTAACAAGATTCAATAGTAATGACGGGTTCTTCATATGGAAAAGAAGGATGAAATATCTACACATCCAACAAAGATTAGACATTGTACCAGATGACAAAGAGGCAAACCCCGAAACAATAAAAGTTGAGAATTGGGCAGCTATGGATAAGAATGCGGCTAGTACAATCAGATTGCACTTGTCCAATTAAGTGCTCAATATTGTCAGCGACGAAAATAGTGCATCTGGTATTTGGAAAAGACTAGAAAGTCTATATATGTCCAAATCCTTAACAAATAAATTATTTTTGAGAAAATAACTTTATGCCATTCATATGAGTGAAAGTATAAATTTTTTTGTCCCATTTAAATATGTTTAATGGATTAATCATGCAGCTGACAAACCTCGGAGAAACAATCACTGAAGTATAAAAAGCTATCTTGCTTCTGAACTGGTTGTTATCTTCCAATGATAACTTGGCAACAACCATCCTGCATGGTAGAGATACCATCGAGTCAAAAGATGTCACATCAGCCATCCTGCCTAATTATAAGATGAGGAAGAAGCTTGAAAATAAGGATCATGGAAAACGGAGAAATAAGTCTTTATAGAGCTTCAAGTAGCCCTGATAAATTCAAAGGCCGTCCAAGAATCAGTCAAAAAGTAAAAATTGATACATTTGCAGCCAATCCTGTCACTTCAAAAGAGATTGCTTACATAAAAGTCGAGGTGAAAGAAGTGGCTAGAAGAATGATGACAACACAACTACTGTAGTGCACAACGATGATTCAATGATTCTCTTCGTTTATGAGGAGAAGGAATGCATGCACCTAGCAAGCCAAGAGTCAAATGGGTGGTTGACACAACAACATCCTACCATGCCGCATCAGTAAGAGAATTTTTTTCATTGGTACAAAATAGGAGACTTTGGGATGGTCAAGATAGGAAATACTAATCACTCAAAGATTGTGTAAATTAGTGATATTTATATCAAGACAAATGCAGGATGCACACTAGTTCTAAAAAACGTGTAACACGTACTAGATCTGCGAATGAATTTACTTTCGGGGGTAGCTCTAAATAGAGACGGGTAGGAGAATCACTTTACCAATAGGAAGTGGAGGCTCACCAAATGATTATTGGTGATTTGCTAAAGGAGTTTCTCCAAACGTATTGTACAACACAACTGCTAAGATAAGTGAAGGTTACATGAGGCTGTAGATGACATGCCTGCTGATCTACGATACCAGAGATTAGGCTAATATGAGTGAGAAGGGATTGCAGATCCTAGCCAAAGAAGTCACGTATCTCTTTTGCAAAAGGTACAACTGTGAATCCCCGTGATTATTGTTTATTTGGAAAATAACATATGGAATCATTTCAAGCAACTCATGAAAGAAAATTGAATATATTTGATTTATTATATTCTGATATTTATGGTCCAATGAATGTAGAATCAATGAGAGATAACAAATATTTTGTCATATTTATTGATGATGCTTTACGAAAATTGTGAATTTGTTTCTTAAGAACAAAAGATAAGGTATTTTAAATTTTTCAAAAATTTCATGCTCTGGTGGAAAGGGAGACATGTCAAAAATTGAAGTGTCTTAGTACAGACAATGGAGGAGAATATACTTTAAAAGAGTTTAAAGTCTACTTCTCAAGCCATAGAATCATACATGAGAGGACAATTCTTGGAACCCCACAATAAAATGATTTAATTGAAAGGATGAATCACACCATTGTCAAAAAAGAGAGACGTATGCTTAAAATAACAAAACTACTTAAGTCATTTTGGGGTGAGGCATGTAAGGCCCCATGAAATTTTTTGCTCAAAAACCCGATATCTCGTAGTGCCAAGCTAGGAATATGTGTTAGAAATTCGCAAAATTCTTCGCGGCGTCGGACCCTTTGGATTGATCTGTGCATTAAAACGTTAAGGAATAATATTTTCCAGAAAAAGCACATTTCTGCGGTCCATTATGCTGTCGCATAATAGCTATGCGGACCGTATAGTCGCCGTAGAGTGAGGCAGTTTGATGGTTAATTTTGAGGTCAACTATGTGGCCAATTATGCGATCGCATAATCCATATGCGGGCCATCATCGCATAATCTCCTTGGAATTTTTTCGAGGGCCGTTGCGGTGCATTATGCGACCGCAGAACAGGTATGCAGACCATATTCTTGTCGCATACCCAGGCAGTTTGTTCAGGATTTGGGGGCCATTTTTGCGGTCCCTTTTGTGAGCCGCATGTCCATTATGTGATCGCATATGCGATCGCAGATCGTGTCGGCGCTCCTATTTTCTAACATTAAAAACCCGACCCCATCCCATTAAAAATATCCCATTAGACCCCTTTTATGCTATTTTACTACAAATAGAGTTCTAGAGGGAGTTCTAGAGGGAGAAACTAACTCTCAATCCTTGCCTAAAAACTTGAAGATTATCAAGTAAAGCTACTAGGCCTTCACTCCAAGAGGTAAGAACTTGAGCCCTAACCTTTGATTTCGAAATTCACATTAGAATAGGTAATTAGCAAGTGGGTTCATGGGTATAAGGATTGATTGTCTTACATGAAAATCTGATAATAGGGTATGGGGAGGTTGTGAGTTGAAAAGATAGCAATTGGTGTGTAAGATGATAAAAATATCTCACAAAAGGGTCCTAAAATCATAATGCACACTTAGTGATTGATAATATACTCAAATGAGCTAGAACCTTAATCATGTCTCTAATTCTTGGTTCAATTTATAATTCTCATAAAATAGATTGAAGTTGCTAGGAAATTTCGGAATTATTATAAGGACTTAAGGAAAGCTCTATTAAGGTATGTATGGCTAAAACTCCTTCTTCTTAGAAATTGAGCTTCCATGGTATCCGTGCAAATGATTGTAAGTCTGAAATTTGATTGATGTAGTACTTGTTATATCAAATGAATTGGTGTTGTGAGAATATATATGGAAGGTGCGTCTCCATATGTTTAATGTGCTATTCTTTGTAAAATTGAGAATATGTGAAGAACATGAACTATGTGCTAAAATACCTAAGTTTCAAGTCAACGTTACATTGTAATTATTATGCCGAACTAGGTAAATTCCTCTTTATTCTTACACCTTGAATTGCTTTTGTATGTGCCTATGATCTTTAATGGCAAGGTTAATGTTGAAAATGGGAATAATGAGAAACCTGAGCTATGGAATGTGGCCTAGTGCCAAGAATTTATGTGGTAATTGTGTCTCCAAGTACCGATGAACTAATGTATGTGAAACCAAAAATTGAAGTGAGATGATTGATGGAAAAAGGGGTAACATCTTGGTAAGACAGCCTAGCCGATCGGGCCGTGATCGGACACCATGATACATACATGGTGGTATTGTGTTAATGATTGAAACCGGAAAGTGAGAATGAAATAGTGATTGAGGTATATGTCTCAAATGAGGCAGCTTAGCCGATCGGGCCGTGATCGGACTCCGCTCAAGAAAGCGGTGGTATTGTGAATGATGATGAATAATATTAAAGGCCCCAACCTAAAGCTACGGAAATTATGTGAAAGTTATATGATTCTTTTATTTGATGATGTGGTGTTCTTGTATGATAGTTCTTTCTAATGAGATGGTGTTTAGTTATACATACTAGTACTATTCCATGGTACTAACGTCCCTTTTGTCGGGGGCGCTATATTTTTGAATGAATGTAGGCGGATCTATAGCGGACAATGCCGATCACACGTAGCAGAGTATCTTCCTCTCAAAGTCTTG